TTTCCACTTTATACCTTTCGGAATAAAACCATCTAGAAGTTAATACACAAAGACAAACGTTGACTGTCCTTATTATATAGAATGGATGGAAACTACACGAACATATGAATCGCTCTCCCACTTTAATCGTGTAAAGAGCCTGCGTTTCTCGATAACTGCTTGTAATAGATGAGTGTTCTCAAGTTGCTAGTAACCAGCTTTCATTATTTGTAGGCGACGGTAGACTAACATTGCAAATATACTTATAGCAAATAATAATGTTCGTTACTACGTAAACAAAAGCCCACGTTCCTCTATCAACCGCGTTACTCAATTATAAATGAAGTTCATGTGCCCATTCATGTATAAATCACATTAAATAGTTATTAGAGCACATCAAACTGACAATGTTAATGTGACGTCAAGAATGACATCAGTATTCCCATTTCACGGGTAGTAATAAAATGTTATATTAATGTGATGAAAATACTACCCGCAGAAAGTTTTCCAATAACTAAATGGAAGCTGAATTTGTCAAATGGAAAATGGTACACTGAAAACCAGATCTTGCTTTACATTATTTACATTTTTTAGAATAGTTACTGTATTTTCGTATTCTAAAATTCAAAAACTAAAAGTAATTGTGGTACTGGCTGTTTGCTATATTCCATACCTAAATAAAAAAAAAGATTAAATTTAATAAAAGAACATAAGTTGTGTAAGTTTATCATTTCCAAACTTTATTTTGTAATGATATTGGGATCATACAATATAAATGTAATAAATTTCTTCTAAATCTACGTCGATTCAGTTAATGTTACTGTAATAACAAGGAAGTAATAACAGTAAGTAAAAGCGCGAATGCCCAATATAATGTTACCACATTCTATGTAACGGTGTATGCGAAGTTTTAACAAAACTGTTACGTTTTGTAACTCAAATGTACTAGTTCAATTGTACCATGTTCGACGTTTCGTTTTACTGATTTAGTTTACAAATTTATGACTAACGTAACGTAAGTATATAAATCATGTCACGATATTTTTTAGTTGTATCGCGGTCATAATGTATCACTAAATAATTGTAAATTGCACGTACCGAATAGGTAAGTGTCATAAGTGTGTAGGTATATTTTTTTAATAAAATAAAACTATTTAATCAGAACCCATTGAAACGATATACTTTTTGGATTTGTCAACAGAAAGAAAGTACTTATACCCTAATATCTAAATATCAGTTATTTGATTATTTACTTTCATTCTGTACATTGCCGTTAATTTTGATTTGAATTGTTGCAATATATAAAGTAATATAACGTATCGTAACAAAATTTACCCAAATATTAGATATATATACATAAAAAAGTAAATATAAAAACAATTGAATGTTTTGTATAAACTCGATATAAGAAAAAGATAAAACATTGTCTGAACTTATCAATCTAAGAAGAAACATTATTTTTACTTCAATTATACTTATAGCTATTAAAAGATAAACAAAATCATCAACATTCATTTGTTATGGTTTTATATTTTCTTATTTTTAAAGTAAACATTTTAATATTTTACAAAAGACACATTCATTGTTTTTATTTTATATTCGCATAATTCTACTACAATATAAAGAGAAACTATTGTGATAAAATAAACTCCTTGTTACCAATTGATCAATAAATTTTATAGATGTATTAATAATTAATATCGATCGTAAGTCATAATGCATTTTGCTAATTTACAACACATACTCGTACATATATTGCACTGGAAATGTAGGCTCTGGCAAAGAATTCAATAGCTTACTTCAAAATTAGAAGCTAAATTCCTTAACACCAAACAGTCTGAGCACGAATAAATGAAAGTAACTTAAAATTGAGATCACTATTTCACAAATAGACCGATTGAACTGCGTTCTAAAATTAAACTTTACCGAAACCAAAATGTATCGAGCCCGGACACTGGAGTGCAGTTCGTGTCAAATGAACCGACCGATTTATCACCGAGCGCTCGATTGAAATTTTACACTGTTCAACAGATAAAGACAGATGACTATACAGATGATATCCATAGGGTCTTTCACAAAGTACTAAAATCACGTTATACAAGATTTAACAGTAACATACTTTTTGAATTTACATCTGGAATTACTACTTTAAAAAATAAATAAATTAGAAATTGTGCAAGTAGTTTTAAAGCATGTGGAACAATGTAAACTTTTTAAACAAAATTGTATTTTTTTTGCAATATCTTTTTTCATACATACCTTATGTGTTTCTCACGTATTCACATATTGAGAAGACAATTAAAACCTCATTTGTGGAAGTCTCGAGAGAATGTTTACTGCAATAAGTGGTGTGTGGTGTAGGTGTGAATATGTTCGAGGTACGAGTATATAGAGCTCCTCGTGTAAGTAATGAAATTACTTACTCTGGGGGAGTCCTTTAATTTTGCTGACTCTAATTAGAATGAGCTTCTGAAAAACGTGTGTTTGTATATAGTTATATTTTAATGCTTTACTCATCTGTAAAATATGTCTGCAGATACAGAACTAAAAAGTCTAAAGTTAAATATTGACTTATATACAAATACATATTTCCACGGCAAAAAAAAACATATAACACTACAAAACTATTAATTCTATTTTAAATTAAAAAACCATGAGCTTATATTTTAGTAACTGTCTTTTCAGGCAAAGTTGCATTCTTCATAAGGCCAGTGACTTTTCTAGATACGTCTATTTTTAAATCAAATAAACGTTAAGTTTCTTCTACCAGATAATCTTCCGGTAAAACATTTTGTCTCTAAGTTTAAATGAACCGCAGAAGAGAATTATTCGAGTCATTTGTTCGGTATTAGATGCTTTAATTAAATGCCGGGATGCCTAATGATCCTATTATGAGATATTTGGATAGTTTCGGCCCATCATTTGGTTTCCCTTTACTAACATTTTACTTCAAAGTTTACTTAATTCACCAATAGTTGACAGAAAAAGCTTATTTATATTTGAAATGCCTATCACATTTTTAAATCTGTATTTTTTCACTATACTTAGTTAAATTACTTATCAATAATTGCCGCTTTCGCTTTTAGCGGTATAAATTATTTAAAGTAGCCTATTCCGGAATCCTGAGTGATTCGGGAATAGGATACTTTAAATAGGTTCTGGTGCTTGAAAAAAAATATTTTGAATAAATTATGCCATAATGCCATTATAATAAGTATGTATTTGTCACTATATCTAAATGTGAACCAGTAATCAGTTGAGTCGCTGCGTTTATTAAATCAATGTCAAACTACAGTGAAAAGGATTACACACGAAGCCAACCAAATACGGATACTTGATACACAAAATCCGCCCAATTACAAACGTGTCTACGGCAATATCGGTAATTATTCCGTTTTTTACCTGATTTCATTAGTCTTATTTCCGCTGCATATTTATTGTTACTATACTGCTAATACTGTATAGAGGAATGCAATGCAAAGTATTTGAAACTGTTTTATTATTTACCAAACTGTGTGACGGATTAAGAATACGGAATGTTACTACCCCAATTCATCCCGTGGGTGTCGTACGAGCTGCAGCACTGCAAAAAGAAGGAAAACTTGATACAAACCCTATACCAACCCGGCCAGCCAAATCTGGCCAGCGTGGTATAGTAGGCCAAAACCTCCATTCTAAGGAGAGGCCTATGTCCAGCAGTGGACTATTAAAGGCTGTTGATGTGAAGAAAGATCGTAATTATTTAGTACTGTATACTATACGTAATGGAGTATTGAGCTCTCAGCACCCATAAATATCTGTTATAGTTTTAATATAACGCTTCTTCAAGTTTTTATGAAAAACTAGTAAGTTCGCAAACTAATACAAATAAATAATAAACTGTGTCGGTTCCATCCCGTTATATATGAAAACTAAAATAACTATCTTCTAAGTTTAATTTTATAGGTCGACTAGGTTATTGAAATAGATTGCAATATCAGGTCTCTGTTCATGACTTCGAAAATATTTAAATGTTCCATTCGTTTTAGCTATGAATAGGCCTAGGACGGTATGAAATCGTTACCAGATATTTTTATTGTATAGAACCGAGTAGGTTTTTGGTAGACCGCACGCATTAAAGAAAATTGCAACTCTACCAATTTTTCTTGTAAAGTTTTTAACATTTTTATTTACTTGTCGTATAAATTGTTAACAGCATGGAATTTATAGCGTTAGAAACTTTTGATAAGTATTTAGTTTCAGCGGTTGCGTGCGCGAGAAACAAACATGGCGCCGGTGACGTCAGATTAATTTGATCAAAGTGGAAATGGCCCCAGCATTTTCCACGCTACTTGTTTCAAGTTGCTGTCAACGGCTCAGCTAATGCTTCCGTCGGCTTCCAATTTTAAACTTTTGATGGTGTTTACGGTCGAGGCGCAATTCAAGCGCCGTAAATATTACAGAATCGATTTGAACACGTCGTGAATGAGTGCTCATTCAGGTTGTCAGAGACACCTGTACTTATTGAAATTCTTGACCTCTTTTTGATATCTGTTGGATTATCAAGTTTAGATTATCTTGAATTGTGGTTTTACAAATCATGGTGTCGGAGTTCTCACCGTATGCTCAATTAGATGTTGAAATAGATGTACCTACCGCGAAACAAATTGTGCGGATCGATACAGTTACCGTGGAAAGCACAATGATAGGATCCCACGGCTTAAGTTCAACGGACGACGGCTCCGTCACGCTTACTTGCGTACCACTGAGATTAGAACTATAGCAGCCTTTACTACTTTTTATAATAATAAGCCAAAAACGCACGCCTTAAACCATTTAGCTCTTTAGAACTATTTGTTATTAAACATGCTGAGAAATTCAATTGTAGTTGTAAGTAATCACTGCCATAAAATATACCCTCAAGTACTTTTAAACTCCATGTGTGTGTCAATTGTAAAGAAAATCGCTCTATTTGTGACTAATAAGTTGAATATACACCCTCAAAGTATTAGTAGAAAACTGATTTGCGTCTTTTTCAACAGGCGCCGCGGCAAACGAATCGGTCAGTGTCAGTTGGTGGAACAGTAGGTGTCACACCTGATGTTCACATACTCCCCGAGGGGCGTGTGCCAGCGCCTCATGGACTGCCACCCTCCCCTGGCTCGCGTATTGGTGCCTGCATTGCCAGCAAGAGGCTTCTGGAGGAAACTCTTGCTAAACCTGGTAAGATTTTTATTCATATACAATTTGATGTAGCGAAATAACATCATTCTTAGTCAAAGAGGAGGAAAAGCCTTCAGTCTATTGTCTGAGAGCTTTCGTTGCCCATGAGATGGACTGCATTTGTCCAAGATGGTAAACACTTGGCTTTCACATTATCAAACCTTTAGGTTTCTTAGATATTGTCAGAGTCATAATTCTGATTACTTTATTAACTATCAGAAATCACATATTGTTGTTGCTATAATTGATTTACTACTTTGCTACTAATTACTTTTATTCTTTACTGATTCTATACGGCAACACAGCTGCAATGGCTATTAAAATAGTTCTAGGATATAAATTAATTGAAGTTTATATTTCCCTTTACATAACAGTTATAATTGGATCGCTGTGTTGTCACTCAACACCATTTCCTGCCTTAAAACAACGTCTTTATTTAGAAAACTACTGATAAATCTGGCCATTTGGAACTTTTTTTTATTCTTCTCTAGTTTTGATCTCTTAAATTCCTTATTCTAAAGTTAAAACTCTCAATGTAGAATTTCTCCGGTAAATTTGGCAGTAGACCGACCGACCACTTCACGCGCTGTTGCGAGGATGATAGTGATGAATGATGTCACAAGTAGAGTGGTAATGTGGAGTACGTTAGTGACGTCATATTTTATCTAATGAAAACCTTATGTAACTATTTTCTATTAAAATCTTCTACATAACATCGCAATTACGAGAAGTATTTTGTATTTATTAACTGGTACTTTTTCCAATCATAATCATACTTATTCATAACCGTATTAACCTGTTATTGGTTTCAAATTATAAAGAAAACGATTAATTTATTTTTCAAATATGGATATATATATACAATGCATATACATGGTGTCAAATAGAGAACAGTGTTCAGCCATATTTTACCTCTAGGCATGCAAAAAGAAAATATAGGTAAATTAATTGTTGATTCCATTTAAGAGTTAATATTACAATTTATATTGTATCATAGTTTATCTAAACTCCACAGCTTATGAAAGTAGTAGTAGTAGTAGTAGTAGTAATAATTATTGTAATTTATCCAATAGGATGTCCAAATGGATGTACAATGTGAAGCGTTATAAATAAATATGTCAGGTGTCGTAAAAATTAGTTATACAAATTGATATACTTTAAATTAGCGATGCTTTCAACTAAAGTGTTTTGTAAATATTAGATCTTAGTATACTGAATGGTTTAGTAAATGTCAAGTGATGCGGCCCTTCTCTAAACTAAGCTTTAACTAGGACCCTTCACCGACAAGCATTTGAAGTCTCGAAATTTGACCATAAGTGTTTTGGTCACAGAATTAATAATGTTCTCAAAACACTTTATTTTAACTCATAATTATAGATACGAAGGATTGATATTATACATTTTATTTTCCCACGAATATATAACTTTTAAGTTATGGTGGTGTGTCATAATAATAAGATGTGAATAAAAGGTAATAAAGAAAATGGGAAGCCATTAGAGTTTAATGTGATAAGAGGTAATTAATGATACATTTGCTTGAGTTAGTTTTATGTAGGTAGTTTATTGTTCTAGCTAAAACGTAGTATGGTTATTTATTATATTTATTTAAAACAGTGAAGTTTTAACTAAAAGAAAATCTTTTAAGATGAATTCCACAGTTCTACAATATTCTCTCTAGTACTTCGTAAAGTTTTGTTGACTCAGGCTTAACAGAATAAGTTCAAATTACGGTCCACGGACTTAAATTGTTCCCACAAAAACAACATAAATAATTTAAATTCATTTAGACGTGCGGGACCGTAACCCTAATCAGTTTTGTACAGCATGGAACGGAGTTTTTGAATTAGGAAGACTTGAAATATATAATGGTGTAATTCCAAACTTTTAATTAGTTGGAGCTTTTATCAAGTAGCGGTCAGATGTCAAAGAAAGTTGAGTCAAAGTGTTAGTTTGTATTACAATAACGTAGCGGGAAGCGTATTCGTGGAAATTCGTTTCGTATTCGATATTTTCTAAAATTTCTAAATAATTATTCCATGTAGAAAATTACTTTCATTAGAAGTTAAAAACATTTATTTAAGTTATTTGTGATATAATATAAAGTATAAACTTCATGTTTTAATTAATTATATACCTACCTTCAATTGCGCCATAATAGATAGCCGCTTTTGTTTTCCTATGGTTTCATGGACAAAATACATTAAAATCTTGCGATTCTGATCGTTATTCTAATATTCAGAGTCTAACACTAACAAGAAACAGACGAGAAATAGAATGCATCAGCAGTAAATAATGCTTTTATGGAAGCTTGTTTATTGCTATGCTAAATCATTTTCAAAAGGCCTGTACGAGATCCGGCTGAGGTGTAATACGTAGGTTTCATCATTGTTAAAATCCATTTGGAGAGAAAGTAAAGAAAATGTTGAGAACCGACAAAGGTGTGAAAGTATTCTGCTTTAGATTGACTGCGTGATAATATAAAGCCAAGATGAGCTTAGTTCTTGGATCTGGCATCGTTTCCCATCATGATATTTATAAGTAATAAAATCTGCCATACATAACTATTCTTTTAGGTTATTTACTGTGGGAACTAATATATTATAAAGATTTCTTTACATTTGTATATGAATTATTATTTTTTACAGTTTTTATACAATTATTAGTAATGGAAGATCTTAGCCTAATTTATAGAGTTTTGGGTTTGTGCAGTTATAAGCATAGGATACCTAAGACAATTTTGTCTGAATATTTTTTTAACGACTTAAACCAGCGGTTCAAATTAATCCAAAGTAGTATACGACTGAATCTCCCAAAGTAAGCATTTCCTTTAAATGAAAAAAAATAATCTTATTTCTAAGCGCCTTAAAATATATCCAATTTATTTTGGTAGTCCAAAAGACCTCTTAATTCATAAGACGGGGGAATGCGCTTGTTAACTTTATTCAATTTTCGGTGTTTCAACATCTTAAAACATTTATAGACATCGGAAACCATTTATCACTCAGAAGTATTTCGTGGATAATATTTTTAAATTAAAAGAGGGATAACTGAGTCACAAAGAAATTAAGGTTATTTTTATAGAAGTTCAACAGAAAACCTCTTTTTTTTAAAAGTGAAGTGAATTTTCTGTGCTAGTTAGCAGATTACAACATTAATTAAATTAAATGGTGAACCTAAATGCAGATATATCTAGGGAAATCAGGCCAATTGCGGTGTCTCGATTCAAAAACAGGGAAACTCCAGTGAAGCCCTTTTAATTTCCTCTGATGACGCAATGTGAGTTGCTAACTCAGTAGACGGGTATATTGCAAGGAAACTGTGTTGTGAAATGTTTTGAGTAAGGTTTTTTTTTTTGCAAATTGCAACTTGAACAAGTACGTTTTAAGAACATTATGGCGTTAAAATAATAATTATTATATATAATAAAGAGATTCAACTTCCAGTCCAAATATCTTTTGATCAAAAATTTGTGTGTGTGTGAATTTTTGTTTTTAAAGTATTGCTTGTAATTTATTTAAACTTAAATAAATCCCTTAATCTACTATTATGCTAATTATATTTAAGAAGAAAATTGAAGTCCATTCCATTTCATAAAAAGCAAGTCACATCATATTAAAAACGTTTCTTTACATAGCCCTCTCTGTCAGAATTCAAAGTGGACAGAGGCAACAATGAGGCTCGCAGGACTATATTCACAGTAAAAAATCCGCTGGACAAAGGCTGGTCTAGACTATAGATTGGGGTTGAAATTAGATGTGGTTCTAAAGACGATGTAAGGATCCTCCCTTTTCTTTGTTTGAAGCTCGCGCATCATTGATATTGTTCAGGTACTAGGTACGTCGTTGTGGTCGGGTTGTCTGCGGTTTTCGTTTAAATTGTTTAAGCTTTCAAATATACTAAACGCTTCATTGGCGTCGTTCATGCTGTAGTAGGCATACATTTCGTCGCCTTGGAGGGTAATAGAGCCATGTCCCACAACTACTTTGATACTACTTTGATACTTAGCTTACACAAAGACATTCCAAGGAGACGAGTTTCATAACTGAAGTGTAGTAAAAATTATACAAACGCTCTTCGTGAATTTGTAAAAACTTACTAATTATTTTTCTTTTGTTTTCATTTATTCCCCTTTTAATGTTGTTTGATGATAAGGTCATTTCGCTGTGAGTAAGTTGTACTAAGACGATGTCAACCTATTAAAAAGTACTCTTTTCGACAGTTTAACAATTTTTAAATACTCATAATTACATCTGTTGTTTGTGAAATTAATATGTGCTAAATCTTTTGAGCGATTACTGTTTTTTTAATGCGTGTTTTTTTTTGTTTTGGCATGTACATAATATACTATATGTTATGTTTTAAATTAATTGATTACAATCACAACAAAAGATTATATTTGGCGGAATTCTTTAAACTGTCTTACTTTGATGATTCAATTTTTTTTTGCAACATTCAAGGAAAACGTGATGAATAACTCATGTTATTTGTTCCTAGCAAGACACTGTGCTATAAAATATGTTAACACCTAACAATATACATGGAAATTATTGCCACTTTTAAATCATATTCATGTGATGAAGCGATTGGTTATGTCACATATGATTGTGATTTCGTCGTAGACAAAGATAAATGCCATTAAAATGAATCAAAATTCTTATTATCAAAGATTACGACCTCTTTTTTTTAGATTTAGACTTCGCAAGTCTTGCGCAAAGTTTAATAATAAGTCGCAGCGGTTTTTTAAATTAATCACAAGTGTGAATATAAGATTTATCACATGTGATTGTGATTTTATTCCATCCCTAATTGTATAGACATTCAAAGGTTTTTTCAAAGCGTCATACACCGGAATCTATCCAGTACATAATATATCGTGACTTCCTTATCGTCCATAATAACAATACAAATAACAGTCGCAATAAAGTTGACTTGTATTACATACGAGTTACTCCTAAGTTCTTATAAAATAAATCATTTCACTCAACATCTGAATTGGATACAATGAAAGTTCTTGCCTGGGACTTGAAATGTGTATATAAATAAAAAAATTAAACAATTTAATAATTATTACCTAAATATTTTTTTCCTGAAAATGATAAGACTTTTTTATTTCCTAAAATAAATGACAGTAATAACAAGCCTTGTGTTGTTTCTTCGTATTGTATAATTTTAAGGCCTTAAGGCATCTCATTGCTTCTAATAGGAAAAATGTAATACTACTATTTATTGCTATTACGGGTATAAAGTGTGAGGCAAGCGTTTATAACCGCTATGCATCCTTCGCCATGACAATGACGGTTTTAGAGAATAATCAACTTAGTTGTGTATAATATTACGAAATTGGACTAAATAATTTTAGGATCTTAATACGTGTGTTGTTGTCACTTATACAGGAACTCCACCGTCGGTCGTCCTGCCGCCATCTGGCTACTGGGTGGATGGAATCGACGATGCCCCCCCTGATGGAGAGGATGTCGAGCCCCGACCCCAACCAGGAACACCTCGGCCAGCCACTAAGCGGCATAACATCGACACTGATGACACCGCGAAGTACTACAGGCGATTCTTCCTTGGCATGGTAATTTGAACTGGTTTTAATATTAAAAGTACTTATATAAATCCGATTGAAATTAAAAGATATCTGATTTTAAGCAGAATTTTGTTCTCTTTCTCATTTTTTCCATTTTATGAAAAAATAATAATAATACTTGACACTATTTCAGCAAAGGGCACTACAAAATAATAGTCTTGTTATATATAATAACTTTAAATATTAGTGAAGGGTACTTCAGAGAGCAGTGCTTAATGCAAGTAGTTATCGTAAATGCTGAAATTATCGAGTCAAAAATTACAAGAACTTAAAAAAAAAACACAAAATAAAATCACGATTGAATGGCTCTCGTGACCAATGCATACTATATTCGAGTTGATGAAATGGACAAAAATAAAAGTGGAGTTGCGAAACGTGTGCTCGAACCGTCTGTCATTTGCGCGCCATGCTGTCTGCGAGCAATGAAATAAAACCGCATGATGTTGCCGACATCTTACAAACATTCCTCTTTGTAATGAGAACCTCGCTTCTCCTACAGCTAAACTGAATCATGTGTGACCTATATAAATAGATTTATACTGAAGTCATTCAATCATGTCATGTATGTATCAGAACGTTGCCAGTGTCAGTCATTGCTGTATTTAAAAATTCCTAGTTACAACAAAGGGCTTCTTCATTCTTATAAAAACTTCTAGTAACAGATTTAGTAAAAAAGTGATGTTAAGGTTTAATAATAAAAATGATAAATAATAAAAAATCAATAATGATATATGAATAATGAAAATAAAACATTTCAAGATAATTATAATAATATACCTGGGAGGCTCGCAACTTATAATTAAAAAAAAACATGTTTGACTGCGTTCTATTAATATACTTCTATATATTTATAAAATAGCAGCAGCAGCTTTATGTAAAAAAAGCTTTTTTAGCTAAAGCTACACATCTTTTGCGACAACACGTACGCTACTATTATTCCAAATTCTGCCATGTAATTTAAAGGGATTCGGGTGCACTTAAGTTAACAATAGTATTTTTATCTTAGCTTGACTTCCACTTGATCACGTTTCCCTTGACATCATATTGTAAATTAAATATTGCTATCGTCACGTCAATGTTGATTTCCTTTTATGACATGACCTCTGCGAAAGGTCTGAAGACAGGAACTGCATATAAATATTAAAATTTATCTGAGTAATTGTGCGGATGTAAAAAATATTGTTAAGAATAATTCAACTGTGAAAATCAAAATGATTTCTCATCCATTGTGTTAAAGCAAGACTTTGCTAATCTAATATTGATTTAGTTTTTATCGATCTAGAGTAATTAATCGGACGAAAAAATAAATCGTTGTTTACTATTTGTATTCGGTCATGTTTTTATTGTGTTCAACTATTGTTGTAAACTATTAAATCTAACACAGCCGTATTATGTTTCGTTCCATAGTAATGTTATCAAAGGCTTGTATTGTGCCTTGTGATCTATATTTCACAAAGCGACTGTTCAATGTCAGACATGTTGGGATGCGGACACATTAACTATGGCAAGCAAGATGGTCGCTCTTTTTATAATTATTTAGTACTTGAAAGTAGGGTCACCACAGTGTCAGTAAAAGTGTTTTATTAGCGCGCGAGTGACTATTAAAAGAAAAAACATACAATGACTCATATTGGTTGACATGTTATGACATGCTTATGAAACGCATACGCATTTGCGGTTTCTATCATGTTGTTTACCTACCACATAACAGTGCTCTACAAAAAATTCCTACAGTATTTTCTTATCAGTAGATTGGTTTTATCGTAGTAAAATAATTGGAGGAGTTGTCTAATATTACGCTACGGTAATGCTATTCAGATAAAAGGGCACGTCTCGCCGCCACCCCGGCCTGCTTCTGCTAGGGTGACAGATGGCCTCACCTGTCACCCCCAGGCCTGCGCCTATGGAGGACGGAGGTCGCTCGCGACCTCCGGCGCCTGATCTGCCTGCGGTACCTGTTCCGTGCCTGGGTCTGGTGGGCCGGTAGAGTTCTCAACTCCTCCCGGTCCCGCTCCGCCATCTCCTTCGCAAGCATAACTTGCTCACAGAAGGAGACGGCATAGTTCCACAAGAAATCCCACCCCGATGGCCGCCACGAAGTCACGCCTCTGCTCCACCCACGCCGGGCATTCTGCCAGCGTGTGGAGCGCTGTGTCTACCGTGCGGCCATCACGGTGGTGGCACTCAGGCGTTGGCTCCTTGCAGATCAGGTCATCAGGTGATCTCTGAAGCATCTGTTCCCAGTGATCACCTTTGTCAACCGGTATGAGAGGATCCCATGATGCCTCTCGAGCCAATCCTCCATAACGGGTCTTATCGCCGGGATAATGGCGTGCCCGGCGCTCGGTTGCCCAAGTCGTTCCTTCCACTCCTCTACGAGGACCTGGTAGAGTTGGGATTTCTGGTCTTAGATTTCTCGAGTCTCAGAACTCCGACCCAACTCCCGCACCTCCTTGCGCCACTGATACAAAGCCGCAAGGGCTCTCGCCTCCAGTTCCCACGGTGGAGTTCCGGCCCGGAGACTCGCCGCCTCAAAGGAGATCGTGCTGTACCTGCTTATGACCCTGATGGCCAGCACTCGCTGCGGTCGTCGCAGTAGTGGGACGTTGCTGGCCTTCAGGTCTCCCGCTCATACTGGGGCCTCATAAAGGACCGCACAACCCCCGAGTAGAGTCTCCAACGCCTTAACACCTAAACCGATTTTTAAATTCTTTAACCAATAAAAAGCTACATTATCAGCGAGTAACGTAGACTACTTTTTACCGATAACCGACATACGCGCGGGCGGGCAAAAGCTAGTAAGTAATAAATTAAGATATAAAGAACGCCAAAATATAGTCGAAAAACGATGGTGTGTAAAGCAGTTCGACATAAAACGCTGTCGCTCCTTCTCGATCTGTTGGCATAAGGCGTACTACATTGGTACAGCAACCGCCATGTGTGAACTTTCCCATACCCACGCCCATAGGCACACTTTTTATACTTTTTAGTAGCGTTTCGAATCTTTGTAATTGCCATCTTTGAAGTCGAGACACATTTTATATGGATAGAAAAGTATAGTGAGTTCAATACATTTTCACCAAGGCTGTTACAGGTTTGATTGTCTTATTACGAATAAAAACTGTAGTTGATACTGCGTTTTAGCAACCATTTAAAATTAAAAAAAAAGTTACACAATTTGCTCGTGCGTAATGATGACTATACTGACACACGAAATTTCTAGAAACAGTTGACTTGTCGTGCATGCAACAAAATTATACAGTACAAAATATAACCACAAATTAACGATAAATCTGTGTGCACATAAGTATACCTGGCACCGAACACTGGAGCGTGAAACGTGTAAGTGCATAATGCTATCATAGGATGTGGTGGCCGCAAACAATTTGAAGAAAGCACTTAAATGAACGTAGATTTAACAGCATTCAGAACGGCAGCCTAAAGGAAGATTCAAGATTTAAAAATCCGTGTTTGTTCTGTGTGCCCGCCTGAGCATAGAAAGGCATTATTCCCTCTAGTATAAATGGTCTCCAGTGCGATAGTATTACGATAATATTCATGCTGTAAAGGTATTTAACAACAAATGTAGGATTTACACCTTACAATCAGTATGTTCAAGTATTTTCAGTTTGTAATGAAACATAAGTGCTTTGCAAAACGAGAGGGGGTTATAACTTAACTTGAAGTCATTAATTAGAATCGTGTTTCTTTTTTGTTTGTTTATTATATCCTTCTTTATATATTCTATATTTATATGGAGTATATAAAGCAAAGTATTATAAAAAAATATTTTGCTTAGACATGGAAATACGACGGGGGAATTGAATATCTTCATGTTATCTTGGCGATATATTTGTATTTAATGCCTTTAACGAGTCGCCTTTCGGCCAATTGTAAAAGCATTGGTATTTTCCTGCTGCTTATCATCAGTCAGGCTGTCATATTATTTGCATATACCAATTAAAATAAATGCAGCGTCAAACCCTTGATTAAGGTTCCATCATTATATTTAAAAAAAAACAGAAATATAGTGGGAAAGAGCGTTAGGGCTCACCAACGCGGAACGGTCTGGCTTCACGCCCAGTGAGCCAAGTTCTCAGATACATGTAGATTGTGCCGATTACGGCACTGTGGAGCAATTTAAGTCTCGACCCGTGTGTGTAACCGACGTTATCATGCGTACAAATCTTTACAAACGCTTCGTTGCAGAATTTTCAAAATATTCGTTTGACTTATCTTTTGTACATGCCTAATTTAAATTTAATTATGTATGTACACTAGGGACTCACGAAAGGTATTAGACGGATTATTCAGTTTTAAGTTGTTGCGTTACATTCATTTTGAATTATTTGTTTTACTAAATGTTGTATTATAAAATAAATAATTGTTTAAAGAGCACAATGTAAATTTTGTAGTACCCAAGGTTTTCATGCGGTTTTTATTGTTATTTAAATGTAAATGGACCGTCTCAATTGAGGGCCCGTATTTCCCAGAAGTACAACTAATGAGCGTATGTAATGGGTATGAAAACGAGTAGTTTTGCAAGGGTTCTAAACGCAGGTATTTAAAGTTACATTAAGCACTAAAATACATTTAACAACTAGAAATTTAAATAAATATATGTAATTAACCTAAATAACTAGAGTGGATCTTACACAATTTACATAATATATTGCAATCATTATATGTCAAGCCTGCAAAGCTGATGGGCTATTGTGACACCGCAAGGGTAAGGCTAGATGAATGCGAAGCTTCGATAGTTAAGCCGATACCAGTCCCATGCTGACGTGTAAATACGCCCCGCCAAAGGCCATCATGCCTTGCCATAAAACCAATGTAGGGCACCGGTAATATAAAATGTTATGTAGCCCTCATAGGTGGACAAATATTATTTAAAAGAGACCTAGTCGTAGATAATTTAAAATTATTAGTATTAAATAAAAAAAAATTGAAATGAACGATGTCATATTAAACCCAGTCAGAAGAAT